ACACACATTGTGAATACAGAACCGTTGATTCAACCATGGTTTCACACTGACATTAGAAGAGTGCAGCCACATCTAAGAAAATAACAATACTAGTAATTTTTAGAAAAAAAAAACCGACTTCAACTCCCATATAAAAAAAATATATATATATATATATCTCATGATCGGCTGATCGGATCTTAACCAGATTAGTATGGGACCAGCCTCTGAGACACTACCTTTCCGCAAAAAGAATTATCGAAATCGGTTGACGTGGTCCAAAGTTATGCGGTAACATACATAAAAAAACAAAAAAAAAAAAATTCCGACGAACTGAAAACCTCCTCCTTTTTTGGAAGTCGGTTAAAAAGAGAATAGTTTTTATCGTACGTACCCATTTTGCTGCTCAGCGTTGAATTAGTAGTAAAACTGACAAGCGCCGCAGGCGAAAATTTTTAATAAAAAATCGCGCGATTTTTTATTAAAAATTTTCATTATTTATCGAAGTATTGATTTTTATGGAAAAAGCGCCGCACGCGAAAATTTGTAATAAAAAATCGCGCGATTTTTTATTAAAAATTTTCATTATTTATGGAAGTATTGATTTTTATGGAAAAAGCGCCGCAGGCGAAAATTTTTAATAAAAAATCGCGCGATTTTTTATTACAAATTTTCATTATTTATCGAAGTATTGATTTTTATGGAAAAAGCGCTGCAGGCGAAAATTTTTAATAAAAAATCGCGCGGTTTTTTATTAAAAATTTTCATTATTTATCGAAGTACTGATTTTTATGGAAAAAGTGCCGCAGGCGAAAATTTGTAATAAAAAATCACGCGATTTTTTATTAAAAATTTTCATTATTTATCAAATTAACGATGTACGTTTTCTACATTTGTGTACTTTGAACTACAATAACACCAGTAAATATTATTTCCACCCGAAAAAAATAATACCGTTATGATCAGGAGTAAGACCCCTATCGATCCTAATATTATTATTTTTAATAAGAGCAATATATGTACGTATTGTACACTTATACTTCCTAATTATACACACTTATTTGTGTATTTTGTTAACGTATGGTAGCATACATTTTGTGTTACTGTCAGCCATTGTTATTTCTGCTTGTTTGTGAAATGTGCAAACGTTTGTGAAGACATTTATAAACGCGTTTTACTTAATTAATTAATTAAGAATTGTATATTAAAGTGGAAATCTCAGGCCGGGGTTTTAATGCAACTATTTTGAGGAGTGTGTACATAAATAAAGTGTTTATTGTGTGAAATAGCGCCGAGAGGTTAGTTCAATTTACAAACTTTAACAACAAATAACTTAAAAACTAGAGGCCTGCTGCGGCTAAAAGTATATATATTTGCAATCAGGAGAACTCCCTCTATCGTTCCATAGCTACCTTAATGCGGAACTCCGGGGATGCCAAACTAAATTGCAGCCATTTACTGTGTTCTTTTGCAATAGGTGATTTAATTGTTGAACAAAGCTTTTCCTCGTAACTAGTGGTTTGAAAAATTCGATTCCCACCATCTTCACTCGCGTCCACAGTACCGGCTATCAACAAACTATCTTTGCTTATCAGTGTTCTCTTTAAAGGAGTTCGTATGCATATACATAGTTAGCGTGTTTATGTGTTTATGTATGTATATCAAAAGAAAGGTAATTCAATTGCTTTTCATTTGGTAATCAAATCTTTTGAATTTATATAATGTTTTTGTAAAAATTTTCAAATTTTAAGTATGCCTTATGCAAGTGTAAAATACATGTGCGGAATTCCGAAAAGCGTTTAGCCAGGGCTAAGTTTTTAGTAATTATCA